AACTCAGTTGTAATGAGCATAGGGAATAGGCAAGATTTCCTCATTGTAACTGTTACTCATTACATAACTTTAAGCTTAGTTTTTAAGTTGACTGTTACCTTGTATAATTCTATTATAGCATTACCTTTAACTAATACCAACTGATGAGGTACTATTTTCTATTGGGAAAATAGTCCGAAATGCATTTTGGGTTTTCGTTTTCACACTTATGTAGTAATTTTTTTGAGTTTATTAAATTGTTTTCACTTTGATCCCTGAGCATTTGTGCCCTCATTGGTCTGATAAGCCCTCACTATTATCTGCCTCACGGTTGTGGCTAATTTAATTAACATAATTATATCAAGGGCTAGAAACAACTTTTGTAATAATATCATATTCTGACTTAAATCATTTTTACTTTGTTGTAAACTGAGAGACATTTTCTTTTCTTTATAGACATCTTCCTCCTATAAGGATTTGTTTTTAACTAGAGTATACTTTATTATACGGTTGTAGTGGTGATTGGATAAATTGACAGAGTAGGGCTGTAAAGTCAAGAAAGAGGGGGATGGTCTCCAAAAAGAAAGTTCAGTCATAAATAGGCCTGTAAACAATGGAAGTCATAAAACTAAGTAACACTTTCAGTTTTATCTCTTCTAAGAATTTGGTATTGCATTTCTTGCTATTTGAACAATTAATTAAGAATGTTTGTGTGTTTATATAGCTACCAAAAATTTTCTTGGTATATTCGTGAAGTACCCTCATAATAACTGTGAGAAAATTATGGAAATATGCAGAAGTTAAAATTGTTATGGCAATTTGCTCATTATAACCATGCACTCGTTATAACTGAGTTTGACTAAATAAGAATGTGTATAAATGTTTAAAAATAAATCAGAAACAAAGAAAAATTGAAATTACTAATAATTTTAGCATTAATTACAGGAATTTTAATTAATTATTTTGATAATAGTAATACTAAAATACTCATGTTCAAAAAATAGGCATAATCATTCAGTCCACAGATAAATCAAAAAATAAACAAAACAAAAATACTCAGGATATACGTGAATGTTCCATTTAAAAATAACAAGGTTATGCAAAATCTGCAGGCTTCATGAAAACAGTGCTATAATAACAGTTTCTGTTGCAGTTTAACCATTGAGAATAGTTGCTGCTATTTTCTGTATGATCTTGACTATGACAATGCCACATAAACTATTTTATTAAACGAAAAATAATTGGAAGGCTTGAAACAGACCAATCACAGATATTTCGGTCCCTGTCTTTGAACATGCTGTAGATCATTATATCCAGACTTTGGACGAGATTTCGAAGAATAGATGTTGAATATAGTTCATCAGGACAGAAGAATGTCTGTCAAACAAAACTCTGCATAGCTCTATATGCAGAAGTGTATGAAGATACAAAGACAATGTTTTGAAACCCCTTGTAACAGTAGCGTAGCATGGGTGTCAACCGCCCAGGGCAAAGGAAAATTTTGCCGTCCCCTTATTTAGGTATCTCAATTTAAAAGACTAAAATTCAGTTTCATCACAGAATAAGTAATGAATAATTCTGTGCTAGTGTTGACACCTTTTTAAAATCGCTGACCCGGACGGCAGGTGAGGTTTGTTCGAACAGAAGTTCTTGACACGTGCGTATATCATTTTGCAATGTGAAGAATAATGTGCAGTGTATGTCGGTTCTAAATCAGTTACATGTAGCGACTGAAGAGACTTAAGTAGGTGTAACATATGACTTAGCTGTATTGGATATTGGAGGTGTATGTGCGTACAATTGAATCGTACAAGCATTAAAAAAAAGGTCAACAGGTTTCACACGGCATAGCCGGGTAAAATTAATAGTTCATCCGGACGGTGAGTCGATTCCCGGACTGTCTGGATGGTAACACTATTCCCCGTACTCATTTCAATTGGTCCGAATCGTAGGTGCGACGGGAATATGAAATAAAATGATTCAAATTTTTACAAGATATTATTATTATTTATTGTGAAATTTTGCCACCCCCTAAAAAGTGCTGCCCCCACTACACTACACCACTACTGCCTTGTAAGACTTTTTCAAGATGCTGTAAAAGTAATTTAATTTTCCTGGATGATAATACCATGCACATAGGGCTGTACTTGTCAATGATGATTATTTTTCTTTTACAGTGAAGATATTTATCTCATAAACTGGCCAGCAAGATCTCTGGATATAAATGCCATAGAACATGTGGGATGCTCTAGAACAGCGCTGTCCAACTTATCATAGCCCGCGGGCCATATTTTCTTCACCAAACATTTTGGGGGCCAAGAAGGTTGCTGCTGTATTCAGCCAGGTTAAGTGAAGTTACGCCAACTAAATAGTATCTACTTTAAATTCAAATTAGATTTAAATTTTCACNCAGTTTGCTTCAATCAGTACCTTTATTTTGTTTTCATTGGCTTCAACTGGCCATCCAGAACATGATGCATCTTCAATATTGAAATTGCCAGAACGAAATTTTGTAAACCAGTTTTGGCACTGTCGTTCTGTCAATACATCTTTTCCATACACGTCACACAATTTTTTTCTCGCTTGAACAGCATTCTTATCTTTTCAGTAATAAAAGAGCAAGATATGCCAAAAATGCTGCTTTCGATCTTCCATATTTGATGGGACACAAAAAATAAACAATTGCAGAAAATCAAACAAAATTTATAAATAAGCTTTAAAATGTTAGCTGTCAAAATATATAATGATAATACGGTTTAGAACGAAAATGGCGGGAAAAATATGTGTGGGGGCCGAGGGGGGGAGAAATTAAAAAATCTTGATGAACGATAATATGTGATATGTATCGTCATCGTCTCCCTTGCCGTTTGGATTGCCGAGCGGTAACAATCAACGACATGTGGAAGCAGTTGAGTCAGAGATAGATGCTTCGTTTACAAACAACACAACCGTTTATTAAACACGAAAGAAGCTTACAAGATGTCCACGATCTTGGAAGTTCTGTGGCGGCTGCGGCCTCTGGGTCTTCCTCTCCTTTCCAAGATAGTCCCATTTTGAAGTAGTGTCCCTTGTTCGCGAATGAACCATTTCATCGTGTCTCGATGACTCCGGGACGATGCGGTCAACTTCCGTTGATGGAAAGATGTCGATCTGAGGTCGGGAGATGGAGACGAAGATGGGTGCGAGACACACACACAACAATAGATCCGTCACTTGGAACTTTCGGGAGAAGAAGCCGTTGCGTCCTCGAATTTCCGGGTTTTATCTGTTTTCTCTCAGATTCCCCTTTTCTGATTGGTCTCTCCTCATCACCTGATGACAATTCGAAACCTTTCGGGGCGTGGGAGAGGTCAAAATCGAAGTTTAATTCGATCTTCCAACAGGAAATGGTCGACGGACTTACATTCTTCTATTGTTTAAAAATTAGCGTCGCGTTTTCATAAAATAAAAATCTATNTTTTGCTTGAATTTATGCAGGTGTTTTGTAATTGAATTTATATTTACTACACCATGTACTCTATGCAAGTGGTGCCCAAATTATGGTTCCAAGCCAAATCTGGCCAGCAACCACATTTGATACACCACTTATAAATGATAGAAGTGGGCCTGATTTTTGTGTATGGAATATTCAAAATAATATTGGTCTTGCTACATGTGACTTGTGCGTAATTTGGTCCACCAGTCAAAAAGTTTGGACACCACTGCTCTTATCATATAGTGTTATCACATAACTACCTCTTCAATTATCTACTATGCATTAGCACACCTCATAACTATAATTATAACAACTTTAAAATTTTTTGGTAAATGTTTTGGTTATGAATTTTTGGAATGTAACACTTAAACATTAAAAACAATCAAGAAAAGTGCAGTAAATTAGTCTGACGAGTTTAACATTGCTCATCTACATCAATTGCCTTACATCCAATGGTAGTATGCAATAGTATTACATACTGATGTCTTATATTTAGAACAGCGCTGTCCAACTTATCATAGCCCGCGGGCCATATTTTCTTCACCAAACATTTTGGGGGCCAAGAAGGTTGCTGCTGTATTCAGCCAGGTTAAGTGAAGTTACGCCAACTAAATAGTATCTACTTTAAATTCAAATTAGATTTAAATTTTCACATAGTAAAATAATTTTAATATTAATAATAATAATTTAGTAACATAAATTTATTCATAGTAAAATGTACTCGGGGACCGTAAAAATTATTTGGCGGGCCGTATACAGCCCGCGGGCCGCCAGTTGGACAGCCCTGCTCTAGAAGACAAGTTGCATCTTTTCAGCTGCCACCAAAAACACTTCAGTAGCTTAAAGATGCTTTTGTTCAAATGTGGATTTGTTTATTACATTTGCTCACTGTTAGGAGTAATGTTGAATATACCAGCATGTGCAATTGTTATGCAATGTGTATGCATGCAGGAAACAACTACAAGCCATATTAGTAGTAGTGGTTTGACACATACAGATCACAAATTTAAATTAATTTAATGTTTTAATGACAAATATGATCACAAATTAATTTTTTGAGAGAAGTCTTGATCACAAAATTAATTTCAGATGTCGATTAAATTAAGATTGCAAATAATTTGTGTTTAATAAGAAAAAGTAATGAGCATTGTTGAAAATATTTTTTTGNGATCAAGACTTCTCTCAAAAAATTAATTTGTGATCATATTTGTCATTAAAACATTAAATTAATTTAAATTTGTGATCTGTATGTGTGAAACCACTACTACTCATATTAATCATTTTTGTACAAAAAAATATTTTCAACAATGCTCATTACTTTTTCTTATTGTTTTTGGTTTGACAAAATTTTGATAACATTTTACTTTTCAATTGCTTTGTTTCATAAAAGTGTGTTAACTTTCATGCTGTTAAGATCAGTAGTTCAAGATTTAGGCCAAATTAATGATTATGTTTATTTTTTGGACATATATTTAAAAGCATGTAATCATGCTCAAAAACTAACATTTAAAAATACATTAAAGTTTTAATTTCATTATTATGAAAGGGTCAATTGTGAAGATGTTAGACTAATGTTATGGGATACTGCAGGCCAAGAAGAATTTGATGCTATTACTAAAGCATACTATAGAGGTAAGTTGTTGTAAAAATAATGCGTAGAAAAAAATCCTATATTACAGTGACATTTCTGATGGTATATTTGGTTTATAGCATTGATTAGTAGTGCTTATATTCTATTTCTTGTAAACATGGATTCCATAGAGGTTATATTTTGTGATAATGAAATAGATTTATATAATTACTGATCTTCTTAGTGCTTCAATTATGGAAATTCTCATTTTCATTTATTACATTTAATTAAATTTAAATTATAAAACTATTAATATTTACATGATTCACAAAAGCAAAACAAAACAGTATTCTTTTAATTAAAATCATTTTTACTTTCTAACCTTCTCTTCCTGACTATATTTTTTAAAATACAGTAGAAAATATCTATAACAAATGTGTTTATAGTGAAAACACAGTTGTAAAAAAATGATCATAATTAATATTCTAAATTTGCATTTTTATAATGAAGTATGTCTCACCCTCAGCATGGCTATAACAAAGAGTTTAACTTTGATTAGCCCATTCCCTTTGAATATAAAAGTTAGCATATTTATTTACTCTATTTAATAATTTTTTAAATTATTTTTTTTAAATATTTAAATATAGTAGATGCTTGCTAATCCTGCCATTCCTTGCAAAGAGGGGTTTTGGATTATTGAGTGTGTATAGATCTAAAGGCAACAAATTATTTGTCCTGTTAATTGCCCTTTGGTATCAATTTCTTTTGGAGGCAGGTGAGCAAACAATAAGTCATAATGAAATGCAATATTCTAAATAGAAATGAAGCATGGAAAACAGGATATGTGGCATGGCTAATATTTTCATGTAAATGAGAGTGCGTATGTGATCACATTGGAGAGTATACTGGATTATTGAGGGCCAAGAGTCTACTGTAAAACTTTCCCTATCATTTCATAAATAAACTGTGAGCTGTAACATAATACAGTTTTATTTATTTAAAAATGAGTAGGCATAATATTGTTACATTTAAACAATGAAACTTTATGGATTACTACTACTATGTTAGTTTTCTTTTATTTGTAACAAATATTTTCTCAGTAAATGAATCTGTTAATTATTGTTCTAAAAAAGAGAAAAAGGTTGAGTGACTCAATGTTATTTTTATGGCTTTGTTTATGCAGGAAACACAATGCCTTTGTTTTTAATTTGTTAATCAGTGGACAATCATATCAGCACAAATTCAAAAACATAAGAAAACATTTTCATTAGTTAATCAAGTCAGTTCCAATTTTGAAAACAATACATGTACAGCTAAAACCACAATGCAGAACACTTCCACACATACAAGATCATGTTGAATTTTATGATTATTTCAAAAGGTATGAAAAGAAAGGATATTTCCACTGATGTTAAAATGACGATTTCCTAGAAGTTAATAAAATAGACATATTTATGGAGTATGGAATCCCACTATTTACTTTATCGACCATCATAAAAAAATCAGGACCAAATTTTGAAACTGTTTGAAGAAAATAATATGAAAATAAAAAATCATTCAAATGTACTGTACATATATTGGTGTTGAAAATGCATTGGCCTTTGTGATTCAAACAAGTAAGTGAAATCATTCTGGTAAGAGAGAGGTCATGGACAAAAAAAAAAGCTTGAAAAGAAAAATTTTAAGTTTTGAATTTTTTTCCTGTTAATTAATTGGCATAAATCTCCTAAGTAAACTTTCAGTTTATTCTTCTAACCCTGAAAACTTTTATTTTTTGACTGAAAATATTGTCTTTTCTTGTATGCTACAAGAAAAGACAATATTTATACAGAAAAAAATCTCTGATGAAGCTAACAATGTCGATGAATCACAAACAAAAGATTAGATTAAAAGTGTTTGGCCAAACCTAATTGGAGGATATATGAAAAAGGTCGTCTTTACTTCTGATGAAATGGGTCATCAAACTACTGCCCAGTAGCATATTAAAATTTCACAGAGAGAAATGTATAGATGTAATCTGCTCTTTCTAAAGTTACCAACACCTGTTTGTGCAAATATGAATGGCAGCAAGAAAAAAAAAAGATGTTGATTATCAGAAAAATAACAAACCACAATATTTTCAAAACAAACATTTTCTGTCAATTATTGAAGTAACAAAAAAGTTAGGATGACTTATAAATTATTATGTGACCGTAGGGTCGGTGTCTCCTTGACACTGCGTCAGGATGTGACACCACTGAATCTCGCAGGATTTGGAAATCACGACTTTACGTCACGCGAGCGGTTGGATTTGGAGTAGAGGTGAGGAGAGAGACGAGGAAGTGGATTTCATATTAACTAACAATAACAATTTTAATTATAACAAAAGAAAATACAGATATACTCGATATCAAGCATGACTAATGTTCCCCTTAATTATTACTAGCCCGTTTGAGAGAGAGAGTTTACAAACGAAACGTGTTGATAAATACCTTGTAACTGAGTCGAAGATCTGTTATAAGATGACTGGATAAACTGTTGATGGAATGTTCGAGGTTCAATGAAATTGTTCTGGATATTGTTCGGTAACAAGAACACTGTGATGTGGAGGCACTGAGGTGTGGATATGTGTCAGATATCCTTAGAGGCACGGTCTTTTTCACAGTATTAATTCTTGAGGAGGCAACTTGGGAGGACAACTTCTGAGGACCACTCTTGAATTCTTGGGTTCCTTCTGGGTTTTTTCCATGAGGTCAGGAGGTTGCTGTCTGGTATTGGACCTAGCGTCGAATACCAGAATTTTATCGAATGTTCTGGGTGACGCATTAATGACTAAATGGATCCTCCTCAACAAGGAACCAAATCCATGGGAAATAATTTTTATGGATTTTAGCCTAACTTGATAAAACGATCAAAGTTAGATGATGGAATTCTAAAATAATTAAAATTTAAAATAACACTTTATTGTGAGTCTGTTTGTCCCTCACAATTCAAAAAGATTTGAAGTTGTGGGATTTCAAATTGGTACACAGTTTAAAAATTATTCTCCTAGTAAACCAGTGGATCAAGCCAGTGGATCAAGGAATCATTCAAAGATTTTGCTCATAAAAGTTATAAAAGACTTAGAAAAACACACAAGATCCTGACAGTTAGTTCTTGAAGTGATTCCAGTATTAAAAAAGAGCCTAGAATAACATTTTTTTTGCCAAATTTGTAATTGCTGGATTCATTTGAAACTTTCAAAAGACAACATTCTCCTTTCAGAATGGATTCAAGAACACAATACTACAAATGTCATGGATGGTAATTTCAGATATCTGTTGTTGACAAATTCAGTGATGATGATGTGAACACATCAGACTTGTTGACTGATGTAGAAATTGTAAAAGACATTAAGAATTCACAAATGAAGACTGATCAAGTTGATGACAATGAAGAAAATGAAATGCAGATTGAAGAACCATCTCCTTCAATTAATGAAGCTTTTGCTACAATTTGGGTTTTGTTTCTATTTCAAAAGTGAAGAAAACAATGAAAATGAATTGTGAAAAATTGAAAAACTACATAATAAATTGTATGCACATTTAAAAAAAAAAAAGAATTATTTTTAAATTTCTGATTGAAAGTAAACATTATTTTTTTATACAGTAAAAATGACATGCTTGTAACAAGTTTGTTTTGTTACATTGTACTTGCATGCCATTTTTATTCAACAAAACAAATTCGTTACAGCAATGGTCTACTTATAACAAAATATTGCTGTAATGTCAGTCTTTTGAATTTTGTTATAGGCATGGTCACTGTGTATGAAATTATTTTTATTTTACATGATAATGAATCCTCATGTTGCAAAAATATTTCAGCTTTACCTTTAGTTCTTCAAAAGAAGTTTGGTGGAAGCAACAGAACAATATCCAGTTTCTGCTTTAAGAACATATTGGAAGAAATTAGTTCAGAATAATTTAATTTGATTATGAAATATATTAAAATAAAGAAAATTGTTAACTCATTTTAATTAAACAATTTTAATAATATATTTAGCCGAAATTCTGGTGAATCGGAGAATGCAAAGAACAGGAAACATGGAGAAAGAAATAGAAAAATTAAAATCAAAAATATGGTATCAGGTATATTAAATAAAATAAAAAATTATTTTCTGTGAAACTCTGTAGCATTATCTGTAAAGCCAGTATAATAAGTCCTGATATTAGAAGATACGTACTCGTAGATGAAAATTTATATTTTAAAATTGTTAACTCTTTATCCAGAGAAATAAAAGATAAATAAAAAGTTTGTGAATGCAAAAGACAAATAATAATAATGCCAGATCATTTCTTACTAATAGGCATTAATGATTTTACCAAATAGCTATAATCTATTTCTACTGTTTCAAAATGAATATTCTACCAAATAATTATTTGTTGATGATAAAATAAATGAATCCTATCTACGTGCATACTGATTTTAATGATTTAATATAACAACATGACAAGGATATAGCCAATAAAAGTTTTATTAAATGTTAAAGAATGTTAAATTTAGATAAGACTGATGAAATATTTTTCATAAATAAGAGCAGTTTAAAAACTTTATTTTGGAATGACTGCTATTTTAGAGAGATTTTTTTTAGCAATCTGTTTATGGGTTTTGATTATAGATCTACAGTAGGACAATTGAGTGGTATGGGACGGGCATGGGAAAAATCTTACACTTAAATGTTTAAATCATTTAGTTATTTGATTTTATGATATTCATGGATAGTTTTTAAATTTCTTCTAATATACTTTACCAATAAAATCTATGGCATTTTAATTACAATATAATAAAAGTGAATAATTTGTTTGAAGGAAGTATCAGATGGTGAGTAATGATTTTTAATTTTATAATTTACAGGAGCACAAGCATGTGTTTTAGTATTTTCAACTGTTGATAGAGACTCTTTTAAAGCTGTAGAATCTTGGAAAAGAAAGGTTTGTGTTCTTGTATACTAGAAAACAACTACAATTATTTAAAATTGTATGCAATTTGTACAATTATCATCACAAAATATTGAAATGACTAAAAATATTTTATAAACAAGTTTCAAATGTAGTTTTCTGTTTATAATTTTTGAATATTAAAAAATAATATATGAAATTATTTTTTCAGGTTGAAAATGAATGTGGACAAATTATCATGGTGCTTGTTCAAAATAAAATTGATTTAATAGATCAAGCAGTGATAAGCAAGTAAGAATTAACCAAAATTATATAATTAGCTTTTTACCTACAAATAATAAATATTTTTATCCAATAAATGTAATAGAGAAGAAGCTGAAGAATTAGCAAAACGATTAAGAATCCGATTCTATAGGGCATCTGTTAAAGATGATCTTAATGTTAGCGAAGGTAAGAATTTTATTAGTAATAATAAATTGAAGTTTTGTATTATGTTTAGAATTATAATTATTCTAATGTTAATTTATTAAATAGTATTCAGATATCTGGTTGAAGAATACTTAAAACAATTAAATGAACCTATTGAAGAAATGGTAATTAGAAATCCTTCAGGTCAAACAAGTAAGTAAACATATTAATAAACAAATGTACTGCATATTTTTTTCTATAATATATAAATTTAAATGCTCTTTAATGCAATAAAAAAATTTTGAAAAATTTTATTTTATATTAGCCTTTTCTTTATTAATTGTTATTTTACTTTGAACTTTCTTATTCTGTAAAATTAATAGCTATGATAAACTTTGATATATTTGCCTAAGTGTTATACGTAAAACTAAATTTCAATAATTTTTTCACGAGGTGGCACGGTGGTTAGGGCGAATGTTGACTCTCAGATCAATTATGTGTGAAAAATGCAACTACAAACTATTAGAAAGTGACATTTTAACTTGTTCCCAGTGTTTAAACTCAATGCATTTTGATTGCTATGGTGTAGTTTGTTCAAATTTTTTAAAGTCCAAGGGAAATTGGAAATGCTTAAGATGCAAGACAGGAAAATGTCAAAAGGATAAAGTGCTTTGGCAGAAAACTTGGTGGAAATAACAGACAAAAACAACTTGGGTGAGTCTAACAATTCTAACTTGAACCTAGAAAATGCGAAATGCTCAAATCTTTTGGCAGTCAAAGATGATAAAACATCTCTCTCCAATGACACTTAGCCTTATTGTACAAGAGAGTTTTGATAAAATATTTAAAGAATTGAAGACAATATACGAAAAGGTGGAAAACACTAATAAAACAAACAGTGAAATAAAAAAATCTATTGTTTTCCTTTTGCATAGTTTCGATAATTTAGTGGCAAGAATAACAATCCTAGAAAATAATACTAGTACTTTTCGAGGAAATATCTCTGATTTGAACCAAGAAATTGCTAATATAAAATCGGAACTACTAATTTCTCAGAATAAAATAAAAAAATTTGGAGCAAATATCATATAATTCTATGTTAGAAATTATAGGAATACCTGTTCTTCAAAAAGAAGACCTAATTGACATAACCAATAAAATAATTATGCAAGTGGATAATAACTTTGACAATAATTCAGTTATAAATGTCTATCAAGTTAATCAGGTCTGAAAAATCAAAATGTGGCAAATCAACACACCCTATAATTGTAAAATTCATGAACACCACTACAAAGCAGAAAATTATTAACATTATCAAGGAAAAGAAATTGCACATTATGACAAACAATTGTGGTATAGTAAATGAAGAATACAATATTTACATAAATGAACACTTATCACTTTATAATAGAAACCTTTTTTTACAGAACTAGACTATTGAAAAAGCAAAGAAAAATTATAAGGACTTGGGTTAGCAGTGGTAATGTATGCATAAAAAAGATATTAATTCTTCACCAATCCACATACAATCTTTGCAACATTGTCAGCTTATACCCATGATGGAAGAACTTCTAGAACATAACAAGATAACAGATTTTACAAAGAAAGAGCTGTACATTTTTTACTGCAATGTCAGAAAGCTTAAACAATAAATATTTAGAAATTATGAACATTATACAAGAATATAATTGTAATTTCGGCATACTAGCACTGACTGAAACCCGGACAAATGAAAGAACCATATTTTGACGAGTATAAGTCGCTGTCAAGTATAAGATGCACCCCTATCTTGAGACAGAAAATTTAGAAAAAACCTTTTTTAATGGGAGATTGCATTTTATTCATTTTTTTATTCAAGAATATGACAGATGGGTGAATCGATACCTTTATAAAACTGAAATAATTGTCACTTCTTAATGTAAACTCAGAGGTCACGCGATGACAGTCGACCGAACATGGCAGCGATGACTGGTGTGTCACTATTCTAATAATCTAGGTACTCTAGCCATTCGGTTGAGGACCATGTGCTTAACGGATCACTGCACAGGTTGGTCCCTAGAGTGGACCACTACTGTAGATAATTTCACTGTAAAAATGGTTACCTGTCGAATATAAGACGCACCATGATTTTGAGTCCCAAAAAGTAGTAAAAAAAATGTGACTTATACTCGTCAAAATACGGTAACTCTCCACTAAAGATGCATGATTATCATAGAGAGAAAATTGAAAGATCACAAAGCAAACTTGACAGTATCATCCTATACATCAACAAAAATCAAGAATTAATACGAAATTTAACTTTTACAGAAAACTATTGGGTTGTTCAGTAAGTAATTTCGTTTTTTTCCATGGAAAAAAAACAATGTTTTTATAATAAATAAATATTTTATTGAAAAATATATTGACAATTTTGGTCAAATACCTGTTGTCATTGTTTCTGGTAGTAGCATGGTTTCACATTCATAAAAGTTTTGATTGTTGCTTACAAAAAACTGATCCAAGTGATTTTTGACATTGTCATTCTAAGTAAATGTCTTACATTTAAAAAAAATATGTATAGACCGGAACAAGTAATAATCTGAGTGTGCTCGATGTGGCAAATATGGTTGGTGTGATAGCACGTCCCATCTAAGTTATAACAGTTTCTGACGAGTTACCAAACTTGTGTGAAATTTGATATTATCATGGTAAAACACTATACCTGTTTTGTTGATCAATTCTGGCCGCCTTTTCTGTTTGATGATATTACTCGATTTGTTTACTCGATGGCAGTACACTTTCGAATCAATTGTTAAATTGTCTGGTAAAAGCTCCAAAAACAAATTCCTTAAAATCCCACCAAAGAGAGCATCTCTCTTTAAGAACATGTGGAACCCATATATCAAGCTTTGAAACGAAACCAATTTGTTTCAAGTAATCATAAACAGTTCAATTTGACAAATTTAATCTCTTAGTGATTTCACGTGTTGTTATTCAACAGTTTGCTTCAATCAGTACCTTTATTTTGTTTTCATTGGCTTCAACTGGCCATCCAGAACATGATGCATCTTCAATATTGAAATTGCCAGAACGAAATTTTGTAAACCAGTTTTGGCACTGTCGTTCTGTCAATACATCTTTTCCATACACGTCACACAATTTTTTTCTCGCTTGAACAGCATTCTTATCTTTTCGGTAATAAAAGAGCAAGATATGCCAAAAATGCTGCTTTCGATCTTCCATATTTGATGGGACACAAAAAATAAACAATTGCAGAAAATCAAACAAAATTTATAAATAAGCTTTAAAATGTTAGCTGTCAAAATATATAATGATAATACGGTTTAGAACGAAAATGGCGGGAAAAATATGTGTGGGGGCCGAGGGGGAGAGAAATTAAAAAATCTTGATGAACGATAATATGTAATATGTATCGTCATCGTCTCCCTTGCCGTTTGGATTGCCGAGCGGTAACAATCAACGACATGTGGAAGCAGTTGAGTCAGAGATAGATGCTTCGTTTACAAACAACACAACCGTTTATTAAACACGAAAGAAGCTTACAAGATGTCCATGATCTTGGAAGTTCTGCGGCGGCTGCGGCCTCTGGGTCTTCCTCTCCTTTCCAAGATAGTCCCATTTTGAAGTAGTGTCCCTTGTTCGCGAATGAACCATTTCATCACGTCTCGATGACTCCGGGACAATGCGGTCAACTTCCGTTGATGGAAAGATGTCGATCCGAGGTCGGGAGATGGAGACGAAGATGGGTGCGAGACACACACACAACAATAGATCCGTCACTTGGAACTTTCAGGAGAAGAAGCTGTCGCGTCCTCGAATTTCTGGGGTTTTATCTGTTTTCTCTCAGATTCCCCTTTTCTGATTGGTCTCTCCTCATCACCTGATGACAATTCGAAACCTTTCGGGGCGCGGGAGAGGTCAAAATTGAAGTTTAATTCGATCTTCCAACAGGAAATGGTCGACGGACTTACATTCTTCTATTGTTTAAAAATTAGCGTCGCGTTTTCATAAAATAAAAATCTATCTCTAACTACTATATTATTTTCTTTAAAACAATTATTTTAACGCGAATTTTAGTAAGGGTTCGGACCTGTCCAGAGCCTCACATATGACTGATCCATCTAGTGGTTAAAAAAAAACTGAAATTACTTTCCAAACAACCCAATATATAGATATTTTAACAATAACCTTTAATAAATATATGTTGCTGACTCTATACTGTTCTCCAGCAGCAAATTCCAATAGGCTTTTTGACCTTTAAAACAGTGATCTTATATAAGACCAATAGCAAATATAGAAATCATAAATTGTTAATTATTGGAGATTTTAATATTGATTCGCTCAAAGATTTGATCAGTACCAGTGAATTAACTAACTTTTGCTTAACAGAAAATCTTACAATTTTAGCGTACTTATCACAGCCCACTCACTTCAATCAAACTCACTTGTTACTAGACATAGGGCTAACTAATGTAAGTGAAGTTAGATTTTTGATCTACTAATACTTAATTTCAGACTATCTTCCTTTACTCGTCTTTATTCCTGATAAAGATAGTGAAAGGAGGTAAAAGAACTATAAAACGATGCAAAATTAATAACTTATCAATTGAACTATTACAGGGTACTCTTTTTTTCCTTTTTCTCTTGGAATTATTATTATACAGGTGGCCTTTCAGTGCATGAACTTGCATATTATCTGATGTCTATGCTATTAATATTTACTGACAAATACCTTCCAGAAAAACATTTTGAAATAAATAATACATGTAAAAATAAAACTTAAAGAAAATTATAACCAATGAAACTCTCAAGAAAATTAAATTAAAAAAATCCTATTCAAAGAATTAAAAAAGAAATTACCTTCAGAACAATGAATTAACATAGAATTAGAAAACAAAAATTTGTCTAAACAAATAAGAATCTGCATTCATAAAGCTATTAAGACAACCTTTTTAGTAATACCAACTCTCCAGAAGACTTTTGGAAAAATATAAAAAAATTGCCTCTTAAGCTCGCTAAGAGCCAAGCACAAGCCACAACCAGTATCTATAAAAAATTCCCTGTTAATATATAACTAAACAGAAGGACAATATTAAAATAAAATCATTGCTGGTTAACAGAAATCTACAAGAAAACGAGGAAACTATAACTGAAACTTTTGCAGAACATCTGAACTGCGCATGGAACAGGGAAGCTACAGCAAGACTGAATCAATTCGTCTAAGAGAATACTAAATTCTTTTGTATTTGGAAGAAACAACTGCAAATAAAAACTGAAGTGTATTACACTATAATGAACTTAGATAATTTAAATATGTACATAATCAAAGCAATTGCAGATATCATTGTACACCTTTATCCTTTCTGATTAACAAATCCTTTGAAAAGGGGAACATCTCCAAATAAATTAAATTATAATATAGTCATACTGAAATATAAAAATAAAGGGTCAAAAAGTGACATAAAAAATTACCATTCAATTATCATCATCCTTGTGCTGGTAAAAATAGAGAAACTCTTTTATAAAAAACTGTGGAAATATATTGCCGATTTAAACATGATTCATAGTCATCAATATGTTACAAACAAAACTTCTTCACAATAGACACTTTATTACATTTCAAACAGGAAGTTACGGAAAAATTAGACAAATTTAGATTAGTTATAGCCTTTTACACCTATCTAAAGCTTTTGACAGTGTGGATATCCGGATTCTTGGAAAAAACTATTTAACACTGGTCTCTACAATGGTTAATGTTGTATTTATTAATTAAACTGAAGATACCAAGTAAAAGTAAATAATGCATATTCAAATGTCTTCTTACCTAAAACCGGAATCCCTCAAGGATCAATATTAGCACTGTTACTCTTCAATATTTACTTGAATAACCTATTTGAAGTGATACCAAAAGTTAATGCTATAGCACATGCACATGATATTGTTTTAATACATTCTAATAATAACCTCCAGCCTGCGCAACACAAATTAAATAACATCCTTTAACTGACTACATGAGCTCAAATATGTTAAAACTAAATGCAAATAAAACAAAATATCTCTGCTTTGTAAATAAAAATAAAATTGTTGATATGAAATAACTAGAAATTGAAAGAAATGAAAAGAAGATAGAAAGACTGCATAAAATATCTTGTCGTTTTGATAGACACATCAAAAATTTATCTAAGACTGTTGCTAAGTTTACTAGCATAATTAGGAAAATACAGTACTTTCTGAATATAAATACTATAATACAGCTATGTCACACCTGTATAGAACCGAAAATTCAATACGACATAATTATGGGGAACTACATCTGATTATATCACAAGTATAACAAAATCATCTAATGAGAGCCATTTTTAAATTAAACTACTATAAATCAATCTCCTGTTGTTATCAAAAGGAAAAATTGACAAGATAAAAACATTATATGCAAAACAAACTATACTTTTCTATTTTAAATTTATAAAGCTTAAAACAAATAACAGTCATCTTTTTAAATACAGGTATACCTCACCTTACGTCAGTAATTGGTTCCAGGAGAGGCGACTTAAGTTGAATTTACTTGTCACTAGGCTAAACCACAAATAACCATTCCCAGTTCAGTATTTTATTTATAAATGCAAGAAAAAAAGTAATCTAAATTTACGAATACTGTACATACAGTACATACATGTAAATGTACTGTACATGTTTACAATTTCGTGATGTTTACAGTACATCGCGGACTCTTCATTTGTGAATGTGGTTTCTCTAAGACATTATAAAATGAGATGATTTTGTAAGATTAAATAACAAATACAGTTATTAAAATTATTTTGCGATAGTAGAAAATAAACTAATTGATGTGAAATTTACCAATACCGAGTGGCATTGACAATGACGCCAAATGGTAGATATTGGAACTACCGTGGTAAACGCCGATAATGACCACTTAAAATTGCTAAATAAGATGATAACACAGAAACACAGATGTTTTCATGTTTCGTTCTCTACGATTTAAGATGATTATATTAACATTTGCTGTAAATGTACATATTTTAATATGATTTTATGTGCTTTTAACGCTTTTCTAGTGATATTAAGACTTCAATATTTGTGGTGGACGGATGTAAAGTCGAATAAAATGACTTAAACTTGATATTTATTTTTCCATATACTTTTTTGACAAATAATATATAATTGGGGTATATCTACCTGTATTATAGAAAATCATCACAGGAAGAAAAATTACTCTTTTGTCATTCAATCCTACTGATGTTTAGATCTAACATTAAGCAGGCAAACACGAACAGTAACAAAAAAGAACTTTATTAGAAAAGGTTAGAACTGTCACAGACATCCTCGGGCAACACCCGGACAAAATCCAACGAACTTTCGCGCCTTTTCTTTTCTGACGTTGCCAGCCACTCTTGTTGGCAAGTGTTGCCAGACAGAGTTCAGGATCTCTGGCGCTGGCGGCCACACTCTAATCGTCAAAATTATAACTTCTTAAAACCCTGTACAAAACTTTCAATAGGACTAACCGTTCCAGCTTTCCAAATGATAAAATACTGGAACTTGTTACATAAAGATTTTCAAGAGATAATTGACAAGAAGAAATTTAAATCAAACATTAAAAAACCCCCTCAGCCAGATCTTCAAAGTAGAAATATTTTAACCAGTAAATCAACATATCTGCATTATTGCATTAAAACACAAAAATGAATTTATCTTTTTTGTTTTTCCCCCCCTCTGTTGTTTGTTTATTTTGTATTTTTTCTGGCAATTGAAAAAGGCCAATGGCTATAGTGTCTTTTGAGATTACGAATAAAATCTTTAATCTTTATAGTTTCTAGTCCTTTTTTCTTTTTAGGATTTTATTCTATTATAGTTATGTATTTTTTGGCTGTTAATCTGGACTTATCATACCACAATTTCTTAACTGAATTTTTCTCCTTTTATTTTTAGTAACTTTAAATTCCGATATGTACATTTCGGATATTTTACATATTGGAGTTACTAAAAAATAAAAGGAGAAAAATCAAGTTAAGAAATTGTGGTATGATAAGTCCAGATTAACAGCCGAAAAATACATAACTATAAAAGGATAAAAGCTAATAAATTATTACAAGGATTATTATTATTGTGTAAGTCTATAGTTTGATTATCTTTAAAAAATAATAAATAAAAATTATTATTTTATTTAATTGATTGGAGAAAATACTTGAATGCTCAATTATTCAGTTAAAATCAGTTTACGAGAAAACTGAATTGTATTAGACTTTTATATTGTTCAAACTGTTGTCAATGCTTTTTGAGGTAATCAACACAAAAATATGGTGTAATATTTTATATAAGTGCTATGTAATTCAAGATAAATTGTATAAAATGTGTACTTAAGATATTTTTTAAAAATTATATTTATTAAATGAAACTTATAACACTTCATATAATTTATATTTGTAGATGCATTCAGCATTGCACCAAAGAATGGTCAAGATAATAAGAACATTCAGAACTCAAATAACGGAACAATATCTCTTCACAAACCCAAACGAGTAAAAAGCAGTAAAAAATCAATGATGAAATCGTGTCGATTACTTTAATATCAGCACTATAGAATTAAATGGTAAAATGTGCCTTGATTTTAACACTACCCTAACTCTACACGTGTGCCTGGCAGTCCAGCCATTGTCGTTTATTATCAAATTATAATTTCTTAATTCACACCACTAAGATTATATCTCTTAATGAAACAGCATTTTTGTAAATTTGACAGTCTAATGAAGTAATACATTTCTATGAAAATTGACACAAAATTAAGTGACATTCTAATATAAAATTAGAAGAAGAAAAATTATTTAAGTTAAACTTATTTAAAAGCATTGAATTCCAAGTTCATAGAGAGAAGTTTTAATTTTTTTAGGGAGTATTGTTTTAATATCAGTTTTTCTAATTATGCTTTTGTCTTACAATTTGACAGTGAAACTCTTAAGATAATTTTGCCTAAAAGTTGCATTTAGAACATTTGTGTATAAAACATTTTTAAAATGATGTATCTTCCATTAAAAAATATACAAATTGGATCATCTTAAGTAAAACACAAAATGTTAATTTTATAAATATATCCTATTTGGTTTATAAGGAGAATAAATTTTTTAATGATCTTGTTGATCGGAATTTAACCTATATAATAATATATAGCATCATGCAAAAATTCTTTAAATTATTATTTTTAATAATTAATTCAACATATTTATTGGCCTGCTTTAAAAAAGTTTTAATGTAAAAGAACAAATTAGTGGCATGCTATTTTATATATCAGAATTTTAGGAATCACGCTATTTATATTCATGTTACTTTTTAATGACAATTTGAATCTCCAGAGAGGGGATGAAGAGAGGAGCACAATTTGGTCCTTTGTGGTGTATTTATTAAACACATTTTTGTAACTGAAGTAACGTTACTTTTGTTAAATAACCTTCCATTGTATAAAATTTATATTTTGTATTTGCCTGATTAATAACAATGCACAATGTCAAAATAGATTTAAATGTTTATTNCTGATTTCGTTCAGTGAATCAGTAGATACGCGAGCTGTTCAGAATTCAAAGTCTTTATTCATTAATAACGCAGCTGTAGAAAGACACTTCTTGTTTACAACTTATAACACTTCATATAATTTATATTTGTAGATGCATTCAGCATTGCACCAAAGAATGGTCAAGATAATAAGAACATTCAGAACTCAAATAACGGAACAATATCTCTTCACAAACCCAAACGAGTAAAAAGCAGTAAAAAATCAATGATGAAATCGTGTCGATTACTTTAATATCAGCACTATAGAATTAAATGGTAAAATGTGCCTTGATTTTAACACTACCCTAACTCTACACGTGTGCCTGGCAGTCCAGCCATTGTCGTTTATTATCAAATTATAATTTCTTAATTCACACCACTAAGATTATATCTCTTAATGAAACAGCATTTTTGTAAATTTGACAGTCTAATGAAGTAATACATTTCTATGAAAATTGACACAAAATTAAGTGACATTCTAATATAAAATTAGAAGAAGAAAAATTATTTAAGTTAAACTTATTTAAAAGCATTGAATTCCAAGTTCATAGAGAGAAGTTTTAATTTTTTTAGGGAGTATTGTTTTAATATCAGTTTTTCTAATTATGCTTTTGTCTTACAATTTGACAGTGAAACTCTTAAGATAATTTTGCCTAAAAGTTGCATTTAGAACATTTGTGTATAAAACATTTTTAAAATGATGTATCTTCCATTAAAAAATATACAAATTGGATCATCTTAAGTAAAACACAAAATGTTAATTTTATAAATATATCCTATTTGGTTTATAAGGAGAATAAATTTTTTAATGATCTTGTTGATCGGAATTTAACCTATATAATAATATATAGCATCANACGATTAAGAATCCGATTCTATAGGGCATCTGTTAAAGATGATCTTAATGTTAGCGAAGGTAAGAATTTTATTAGTAATAATAAATTGAAGTTTTGTATTATGTTTAGAATTATAATTATTCTAATGTTAATTTATTAAATAGTATTCAGATATCTGGTTGAAGAATACTTAAAACAATTAAATGAACCTATTGAAGAAATGGTAATTAGAAATCCTTCAGGTCAAACAAGTAAGTAAACATATTAATAAACAAATGTACTGCATATTTTTTTCTATAATATATAAATTTAAATGCTCTTTAATGCAATAAAAAAATTTTGAAAAATTTTATTTTATATTAGCCTTTTCTTTATTAATTGTTATTTTACTTTGAACTTTCTTATTCTGTAAAATTAATAGCTATGATAAACTTTGATATATTTGCCTAAGTGTTATATGTAAAACTAAATTTCAATAATTTTTTCACGAGGTGGTACGGTGGTTAGGGCGAATGCTGACTCTCAGATCAATTATGTGTGAAAAATGCAACTTACAAACTATTAGAAAGTGACATTTTAACTTGTTCCCAGTGTTTAAACTCAATGCATTTTGATTGCTATGGTGTAGTTTGTTCAAATTTTTTAAAGTCCAAGGGAAATTGGAAATGCTTAAGATGCAAGACAGGAAAATGTCAAAAGGATAAAGTGCTTTGGCAGAAAACTTGGTGGAAATAACAGACAAAAACAACTTGGGTGAGTCTAACAATTCTAACTTGAACCTAGAAAATGCGAAATGCTCAAATCTTTTGGCAGTCAAAGATGATAAAACATCTCTCTCCAATGACACTTAGCCTTATTGTACAAGAGAGTTTTGATAAAATATTTAAAGAATTGAAGACAATATACGAAAAGGTGGAAAACACTAATAAAACAAACAGTGAAATAAAAAAATCTATTGTTTTCCTTTTGCATAGTTTCGATAATTTAGTGGCAAGAATAACAATCCTAGAAAATAATACTAGTACTTTTCGAGGAAATATCTCTGATTTGAACCAAGAAATTGCTAATATAAAATCGGAACTACTAATTTCTCAGAATAAAATAAAAAAATTTGGAGCAAATATCATATAATTCTATGTTAGAAATCATAGGAATACCTGTTCTTCAAAAAGAAGACCTAATTGACATAACCAATAAAATAATTATGCAAGTGGATAATAACTTTGACAATAATTCAGTTATAAATGTCTATCAAGTTAATCAGGTCTGAAAAATCAAAATGTGGCAAATCAACACACCCTATAATTGTAAAATTCATGAACACCACTACAAAGCAGAAAATTATTAACATTATCAAGGAAAAGAAATTGCACATTATGACAAACAATTGTGGTATAGTAAATGAAGAATACAATATTTACATAAATGAACACTTATCACTTTATAATAGAAACCTTTTTTTACAGAACTAGACTATTGAAAAAGCAAAGAAAAATTATAAGGACTTGGGTTAGCAGTGGTAATGTATGCATAAAAAAGATATTAATTCTTCACCAATCCACATACAATCTTTGCAACATTGTCAGCTTATACCCATGATGGAAGAACTTCTAGAACATAACAAGATAACAGATTTTACAAAGAAAGAGCTGTACATTTTTTACTGCAATGTCAGAAAGCTTAAACAATAAATATTTAGAAATTATGAACATTATACAAGAATATAATTGTAATTTCGGCATACTAGCACTGACTGAAACCCGGACAAATGAAAGAACCATATTTTGACGAGTATAAGTCGCTGTCAAGTATAAGATGCACCCCTATCTTGAGACAGAAAATTTAGAAAAAACCTTTTTTAATGGGAGATTGCATTTTATTCGTTTTTTTATTCAAGAATATGACAGATGGGTGAATCGATACCTTTATTAAACTGAAATAATTGTCATTTCTTAATGTAAACTCAGAGGTCACGCGATGACAGTCGACCGAACATGGCAGCGATGACTGGTGTGTCACTATTCTAATAATCTAGGTACTCTAGCCATTCGGTTGAGGACCATGTGCTTAACGGATCACTGCACAGGTTGGTCCCTAGAGTGGACCACTACTGTAGATAATTTCACTGTAAAAATGGTTACCTGTCGAATATAAGACGCACCATGATTTTGAGTCCCAAAAAGTAGTAAAAAAAATGTGACTTATACTCGTCAAAATACGGTAACTCTCCACTAAAGATGCATGATTATCATAGAGAGAAAATTGAAAGATCACAAAGCAAACTTGACAGTATCATCCTATACATCAACAAAAATCAAGAATTAATACCAAATTTAACTTTTACAGAAAACTATTGGGTTGTTCAGTAAGTAATTTCGTTTTTTTCCATGGAAAAAAAACAATATTTNAATTTGTGAAAATTGCTGCTGATGAAAAATAAAAAAAATTGAAGATAATTGAATTTTTAATGTTCTTTTACTCTAAAATATCTTCTAGATCAAAAGAATAGATAAGTTTTATTACTTAACAATAGTTTTTCATTAATCTTTATTATCATCGTCTACAGACTAACAACATATTTTTGATATAACAGTAACTGATTTTTAAGTTTTCATGTACTTAACAAAAAAATTTGTTCATGTATCCTGTTTTTCTTTTAGAAAAAAATTAACTTCATAGTATATTTTGAATATAAGAAATAAAATATCCTAGATATGGATGGAAATAAAAAGAAAAAACCCATTAAGATTGGCGAGAGAAAGAAACCTAAGAAACTAGATAGGTTGGAGTTTATGATTTCTCTGCAAAACAAGGATACTTGTACAGAAGATGCTGCCAATTTGGAAATTAACTTGGAATCGTCTTCGCAAGATATGTGGAAAACTTTAACAGAAATTACTCGAGATGGGGATTTTAAGGATAAATTGAAGGATGCCGTCAAAAATATTCTGATCGACCATTTAACTCGCCAGTCCAAACTTATCCCCCACACTAAACAGGATTATCTGAAGGAATACTCCTGCATATTCTCAAAAAGAATTGAAAATTCTGATGAGTTCGTGATTCCGTCCGAAAATAAATTAACCATTAAAGATATTTCATCGAATGTTTCAGTTTTAGGTAGAAAATCTCACTCAAGAAAAGGCAGATTAAGGAAATTCTTCCGTAAATTTAGAATTAAAAAATACAAAAACGAGAAGAGACGTTCAAAATATTCGGATGTGAACATTACAAAACTCAACAATATAGAATGTGATACTGACTTGAAAGAAAACTTAATAAATTTCATACGAGACGAAATTTCGTTTGACAACGATTTGAAATACTTTAGATCAGATCCAAAACTGTTGCAAGTAGAATCATCTGCGGTTTCACAAAGACCGTGTTCTGAAAACTTGAACAATGAGCAAATCTTTCTGTTGGCAAAATCAGATGATGACGACTTGTGCATTAAGCAGTCCGATGCATTTGTAAGAGATGAGTTTGACCAATTAACTATTGATTCTTCGAGAAAGACGACTGAAATAAATGTAAAAACTATTTCTGACGAAATATCAAACAGAGATGTTCTGATTTCGTTCAGTGAATCAGTAGATACGCGAGCTGTTCAGAATTCAAAGTCTTTATTCATTAATAACGCAGCTGTAGAAAGACACTTCTTGTTTACAATATACCCTACTATAGAATTTCTTTCTCACGTACCTTTCACTACCTATTTTAGACCACTAGAAAATGCAGATATTCTGGAAACTCCAGAAAACGGACAAAGCATTATATCGAGAACGGAATCTAAACCCCGTTTACTGAGCATTAATCATTTAAATATTACCAAACCGCGGATTATGTGTAATAAAAAGCACTGGAATATTTCGAGTAAAAAGAATTTCGTAATAATACCAACGGCCCCGAAATATCCCGAGTGGGTGACAGAAGAAACGATTCAATATTTTCGTTGTTACGATATATTTTCAGTTAACGCTACGGAATCTTGCCAGAAAGAATTTACGGTCGTCGAAGAAGGGGAAGAGTTGCAAAATTCTCTCGCTTGTGCCTGGTACGAAAGCGTTTCTACTGCAGAAACGCGAAAGACAGTGGATGCCAATGGGATCGACAGGAACCAATGTTTAGGAT